CCCTCACCGGTCCAAAACAGAGCGATCTGCAACTTTAAGATCAAGTTTTATTCAGGTACAATTTCTCCCTCCTTTGTGAGGACAGATCTGCACGTCCCCCCCCCCCAACAGCTAGCAATCCAACACAGTCCAGTAGAGCCTGAGCGGTGGGTGTTGCCTTCTGACACACTTCCGGTGATGTCAGGGTGTGTGGCATATGCAAATAAGTTATGCTAATGAGTTATGCTAATAAGCACCTGCACCTCTTTTTCTACGAAATGACCCCTGTTTACTGGCATGGCACTGTCTTCTGGACTTTGGTACCAGAAGCTGCAATTAGTCAGGTGATTAAAAGTTGTGACTACTTGTCTTAGACTTCAGCTTTGTTTAGCTTGTAGTATTCACACGTATTAAATCTGAACATCATTTCGCTGAAAAGCTCTAAACTGGTTCATAAATTCAAACCAATTTTTACACGTGTGGGATGAACGAAATCTGCTTTTAGACTTCATTTCAGGGTGATGTTTTAAGACTGTAGAGAATAGCAGCCAAACCCTCAAAACAAACAAACAAACAAACAAACAAAAACAGTTGTGCATTCCCTGGGCTTATCTGACTAAGCTCTAGGACAAAGTTTGAGTCCAGTGGCATCTTTAAGACCAACAAAGTTTTTATTCATGGTATAAACTTTTGTGTGCAAGCACTCTTCCTCAAATACAATGAGATGGAAATTACCAATCCATATATAAAGGTAGAGGATGAGCAGTAAATTAGTATACAGCATAATGAAGATGTTTAAAAGAGTCAATGACCAAACAGGAATAACAAGCTTACTTTATATGGTCACCAATTATTTCGGTTTAATTCCAGCGGGAAACATAGACCGATTCCTCACAAGCAGCTGTGCTGCCCTCGCTCTTCCATTTGCCCCGGTTGCATTGGTCAATCTCACACTTTGCTGCGTGGCCGCATTTTGACCCACCTCCCCCCCAATTTCCCCCGTGTCTTCTCAATCTAAAAAAACAAGGATCCTTAATTGTGGAATGTTAAAGAGTAATTAATTGAGACCCTGCCATTACACTCCATTCATCTGCTTTCAAGCTCTAGGAAACTTTTCAACCCAATAGCCATTGGCTCCCCACTCTCCACTCATATTTCCTTGACCTTTTTAAATGTGGGGAAAACAAAAAAAAGATTGAAGGCAGATGAGCCTTCTTTGCAACTGGTCATGATACAAAGGTAAAGGTACTCTAGTGGCTGTAAGGTTTCTCCCTCACTGCTTACCTCCCTACTGTTGAAAGGCCAGGAGAAAAAACAGCACATGCAGTACTATAATACTCTTCCTCTAGGTGGGATGACTGCCACAGGGGCATTCCAACTTAAAGAGACAAGCAATGGGGGGGGGGGAGGCTGAAGAGGGTAGACGTAGTTATGAAGTTCTTGGTGGAGAAAAGGATGGGTTGGAGCAATCTGCAACTTACCTATTCATCTGAGGACAGTTGACTATTGCAAAACCAACAATATTTATACAATCATACTGGAGGTTTTGCAAAAAGTGTGTTTTATGACAGAAAGAGCGGTCAGTTACCTTGCATCCAACTCTTCCTTACATGATACAAGGAGCAGCCTACAATCAGCACTCTGATTTCCCAAGAAATAAATAAAAATAAAATCAACTGCTAGGCCCACAATAGTTCTCTCTCATCTACCTTTTTTAGACGGCCTCTCCGATAACGGCAGCATCCGGTACACTCTGAATGCATTGTTTCCTTTTTTAATGCTTTTGTCTTTGACTTCTTCAATATCAGGCAAGGAGTTCATTGCACATCGGAAATTTGCCTTCCATGTCTTTGGATCTGCTTTGTCAACGCCTGGTTGGTACTTCCCTAAGACAGAAGAAAACAAACTCAAGGAGAATGTTCTGACAGGAAATGTCATGCCAAGGCTTCATTGTAGTGGAAAACATCATGTAAGACAATGAAGCAAATAAAGGCAAAACTAGACAGTCGGAACTGTGAAAAAAGATTACAAGATTCAGGGAGATCATTCTAATAAAGACATTAACTCTTTTATATCACAAAGATAAGGCACTGTTGGCATAATCTACCACAATTGTTCTTACACAAATTCAACCAAAAACCGTATGCTATTCATTTATAAAATAAATCCACCTTGTTATTTATTTTGAAACCTGACTAAAACTGTTAAATAGTCAGTAGGCATCATTTTATGAGGAAACTTCACTGTGAACTGGGCTAAAAGTCAAGCATGTAAGTAACTATTCGCTTAAGTAGCTGTGACAAACAGAAATTAACTCCAGGCAAGTGCTTTCTTAGACACTCTAATTCGCAGGACATGCCCAGCCTTCTACAAATAAATGTGACCCAGAGTCACAGGAAAAGACAATAATGCTAGGAAAAGAAGAAGACTGAACATGAGATGGATTGACTCTATAAAGGAAGCCGTGGCTGTCAGTTTGCAAGATCTGAGCGAGGCTATTAAGGATAGGATGTTTTGGAGGACATTAATTCACAGGGTCGCCATAAGTCAGAAGTGACCTGACAGCACCTGGTGCACACACTGCATAAAGCTGAGTGAGCTTTTGGTGTACATGCATCAGGTTCTGTGACACCAAAGGCCTCCTGCTTTGTTTTGCAAACTTCTTATGCCTTATCAGAACTTGGAAACTGCAAGTGACTCAAAGCCAGTCTTTTCTCTGCTGATTAAGTTCTAGAATTCATATCCTTGGAAGGAACGTCTCTCGCCTATGATTGCTTTTCTCTTGTTCCTCCTGCAGCATTGGGAATTGCATGAGTACTGCAAAAAGGTTCATGATTACTTATGGTGATTATTAACGCACTGCAGCTGCATGGAACAACTTTTGTATGCAATTTACTGCAAAACTTTCAACTGCAAACTGCTCAGGGTTGAGCAGTTAATAGGAAAGGCTATATGTTAAAAGTCCTCTATTACTTAGTTTCCTTGGACCAAGTGCTAGACCGAGAAAACAGCTTCCAGGGTTGATCCTCACTCTGGAGGGGAAGGCATTCTCCTTCAACAGCCCTCCTGCATATTTCTCTGTTGCAACTGGGTGCCAGTTATGTTCGCCAATGGAAATATGTGGAAAAGCCCAACCATGTCACTGTGCTCATGAACTTATTGTATGTTCCTTTGTTGAGGAGAAGAATGCCCCTCTGAAGTTACTTCAGGGTAGAAAGAAAATGTCAGGATTTTTAAGGATTGGTATTTATTGTTGTTGTTGTTGTTGTTGTTGTTATTATTATTATTATTATTATTTGGGATGATAGTTTTTCTTTGAAAAACTTGTGTAATGCCAGAATTCCATAACTCTGGTTTGTAAAAATCTGAGATTTTTTTTAAAGCCATGTTTAAAATCCGCATCTATGTGGGCAGGGTGACTAGTAAAATGTTCAGTACACAAGTAATTTTTGTGGACTTCTCTGAAAGGCTGCTGTATATAGACACAGATGCAACAATGAACAGCCACTTTTGCATTTTGGAGTTCCAGGCACTGATTCACAGAAATGGTTGAAGGTCACTGTGAGTCGCCCATAAATGGGGGGGGGAGGAGAGAAACCCTGGCTAGTTCACAGGTGTAAATTGACCCTGTGTTACAAATCAAATGCTGTGATTATTGGTGTGAAGCAGCAAACTGGAGTCCTTTTAATATCAAAGCACTGGCTTGGATCTACAGGAAGATTTCCGCACGTCCTAGGGTTCCTGCGCATGTATAAGTGTGGAAACCCCCACCACCATATTAGTCCATTGTGCTAAATTTATCATAGTGCTTCCCAAACTGTTTTTCTGTTTGCATGAGATGTTCTGCCAATGATTTCTTGGCACGATAATATATAGGGAGGAAAGCGCTTGGTGTTGCTCAGGATCTTATGCAAGCAGAACTATACTAATTAGGTTTATGTTTCTGCCTGCACACCCCTGGATCCAAACCTTTACAACAGTTAAGCTGAGGTACTCTGAAATTTACTGCATTTAACCCATCATCAGAGAGCAGGCACTGGGTCACCTTTTGATGCGCATATGACTCTTTTGCGGTCACAAGGCTTCCCTATGCCTTTGAATGGAGAAAACCGGGCAAACAGATATGTGTGAGGAACTGTCCCTTCCAGTGGAAAAAGATCCAAGAGCTCCATGCACTAACTGCACTGCATATGGGAGGCAGGATCAGGGTGATAATGTGAAAAAGCAAACTAGAAAATAGTATTACAAGAACAGAAGAAACATTACACAAAAAAAACCTAACCTGTGTGAATGGCCCAGTTTCTAAATAAAGGTGCATCTTTTTCAACATCCCACCCATGCCTTGCAGCATGCATCCAAGGAATCTGAAAAATCTTCTTTTCCTGCAAAAGGAAACAAATGGGAATTGTCAACTATTATTAACCTGCAGATTGTCTTAAACAGTCTGAAGGCGCATGACCTATGCTGAAGCTAATCAGGTCTGCATCTGGCCAGTGCTTGGCTGGGAAGCTACAGGGACTTCCTGGTAGACGGCCTTGAGATCATTGATGGGAAAAAAGGCAAGAGATCAAAGTAGCAAATCAACAAGCAACAACATTCATTTTCAGTTGCACAACCTGCAAATACTTTTTTGTCACTTCCTGGCTTTCTGGTTCAGTAACGTTTTCCCACTGAACAGAAATCAATCACTGAACGTCTGTTGATTTTACTGAGATTGGGGTGGGAATGGGGGGAGATTAACAGTGTAGTCCTAAATGGAGTTGCACCTTTCTAAATTCATTGAAGTCATTAATTCATTAATGCTTGAAAATATTCATATGTCCCATTATGGCTTAAAACTAAAACATCCCCAATTGCCTAAAATAAGACATGCATGCATTCACACATATTTCAATCAAGGTACTATTGGTTGTACATTACTCAGATTATAAAGGAAACATTTCTGATTAGTTGTTGATTATTCGGGCTGTATGGCTGTGGTCTTGGCATTGTAGTACCTGATGTTTCGCCAGCAGCTGTGACTGGCATCCTCAGAGGTATAACACTGAAAGATGGAGTACTCTCTGTGTCAATGTGAGAAATAGAATGGTAGGCAGGTAATTTATATCTACTTAGGAAGGTGGGGTAGGGCTGACATTATCTTATAGGAGTTTTCCATGCTGTGACATGCTAGGAGGTTCTTTTGCATATGGATTGGCTGTTGAAATTCTAATCTTATCTGTAGTGCTGTTGTAAGATGTAGAGCATTTAGTGTTTTTTTAGGACTGGAAATCATGCCGTTTATTTTTAAACTCTCTTCTTTCCTGTTGAAATTGAGTTTATGTTTATGAATTTCAATGGCTTTCCTGTGTAATCTGACATGGTAATTGGATGTGTTGTCCGGCATTTCAGTGTCTTGAAATAAGATATTGTGTCCTGTTTGAGTTAGGCTATGTTCAGCCACTGCTGATTTTTCAGGTTGGCCAAGCCTGCAATGTCTTTCATGTCCTTTTATTTTTGTCTAGATGCTAGGCTGTGTGGTCCCGATTTAAACCTGTCCACAATTGCAGGGTATGCGGTATACTCCTACAGAAGTGAAGGGGTCTCTTCTGTCTTTCACTGATTGTAGCACCTGTTGTATTTTTCTGGTGGGTCTTAATACTGTTTGTAGGTTGTGTTTTTTCATAAGTTTTCCCATCTGATCAGTGATTCCTTTGATATATGGCAAAAACACTTTTCCTGTAGGAGACTGTTCTTCTTCAGCAAAAGACACGGAAACTCCTACAAGAAAATGACTCAGCCCTACCTCACCTTCCTGAGTAGATATAAATTAAAAGGTAAAGGTAAAGGTTCCCTTGCTCGAAAGCCAGTCGAATCCGACTCTAGGGTTGCGGTGCTCATCTCCGTTTCAAAGCTGAAGAGCCAGCGCTGTCCGAAGACGTTTCCGTGGTCATGTGGCCGGCATGACTAAACACCAAGGCGCACGGAACGCTGTTACCTTCCCACCAAAGTGGTACCTATTTATCTACTTGCAATTTCTTGCTTTCGAACTAGAGATGGAAGCTCACTCCATCATGCAGCACCCGGGTCTCGAACTGCTGCAGTTCACAGCCTGCAGTTCAGTGTCTTAACCACTTGAGCCACCACAGCTCCTAGATATAAATCACCTGCCTACAATTTTTCTTCTCACATTGACACAGAGAGTACTCCATCTTTCCATGTTATACCTCTGAGGATGCCAGTCATAGCTGCTGACAAAACATCAGGTACTACAATGCCAAGACCACGGCCATACAGCTCAGAAAATCTACAACAACTAATGCAGTCTGGCTATGAAAGCCTTCAATAAAACATTTCTAATGTTTGTGGCATTTTTATTTCTGAAGTCCATATTATTTGCCTAGATCCCTTTGGGATGAAAATACACATGTCTGAGACACTGGCTATAAGTTGCTCTGAGTGCACATAAATATAAAATTTATAAAATATAACATTTAATAATATAAAGTTTGCCTAATATAAAGTTTAGAACATCCCAGAAAGCCTTGCAAAGTAGCATCCAAACCCCATAAAGAACCACTATTTGAAAACCTAGACATGCCTTACCTCATTTAGCCATTTGAGACCTGGGATTTTGTTTGAGTTTATTTGTTCCTCTAGCCATGGCCGCATCCTCATCCTCTCCACTGGCATTTTGACCTTGATAGAAGAGAAAGCACAGATAAATGATCTCCTGGTTAGACGATTAGATCTGTTTCTCTTTAATGGCAACATTCCACATCAAACTGTAGGGTTGCCAGGTCTGGGTTGAAAAATGCCTGGAGACTTTGGGGGTGGATCCAGGAGAGGGTGGGGTTTGGGGAGGGGAGGGGCCTCAGCATGGTACAATGCCATAGAGTCCACCCTTCAAAGCAGCCATTTTCTCCAGGGGTGCTGATCTCTGTCAGCTGGAGATCAGTTGTAAAAGCAGGAGCTCTCCAGGCCCCACCTGGAGGCTGGCAACCCTATCAAACTGACACCTCTGGTAACAAAGGACCAGCTCATTCACAGAAATAGCCCACCAAAGATGATGGCAATGAAAGTCTTCCCATTTGGCTAAACTCTGGTGCAGGGAAGTAATCTTTAGAACAGAGGTCCCCCAACCCTTTTGAGCCTGAGGATACCTTTGGAATTCTGCCATAGGGAGGTGGACGCAATCACAAAATGGCGGCCACAGGAGGTAGAGCCCACCACAAAACATCAGGGAATGAGGTTATACATAAATCTTATAGCAAGTCTTCAACATTTCAGACAGAAGGTCTGCTTAACAGCATGCCTTTTTAAATGAAAATATTATTTAAAAATATTTTCTTACATATGCACAGTTTACCTTCAATCGCACAATGAAGATCCTTGTGCTGTGGTGGCAGTTGCTGCCAAAATAAGTTTTAAAAAACCTGCACAGCCAATCAGATCTCCAATGGCAAATTACAAGCCCTTCTTGGCAGAAGTTGCATTGGCCCTGCACACTTTTTAAAAACACTTGGTGGGTTCTAGAAGTACCCACACCTTTCGGGAGGAGCTCTCCAAAGTCCTGAGGGAGAACTAGTAAAAATCAGTGCAACCTTATATATGAGGTACTGGTATTGTTTCTTTTACCAAAAAAACCCCCAAAACATTGCCCATGGGTATTGCGTGAGTACAGTCAATTATTTCCCTAAAATTTCAGCTAAGGCTACACCCATGTCAAAATTAAAAGTTAAGCCCTTTAAAGTCCATTGATTCCAATGGGAGGGGTATGCATATGCTTTACACTCTTGGCAGCAGAATTCAACAGTGCTTCAACAGTACTTCAATGTGCATTTATTGGGAGATGGGTTTTATTACAGTGGGTTTTTTAGTCTGATGTGTTTTACTGTTGGAATAGCTCCTATTTTTCAGGCTGTTATTTTAGTCTGCTATGTAAAGGGTTGGGCTAATGTTTTTAGAAGTTGGCGTTTTAAGTTTTTTAGCTAGTCTGCAACTTTAATATGTTGTAGGCTGCCTTGATTACAAGTTTTCTAGAGAGACAGGATATACATATTTGAAATAAATGTCTTTACATTCAGTGGGATTTACTTCTGAATAAACCTGCCGAATATCAGGCTGTAATCAAGTGCACTGTTAATTAGGGATGCACTGAACCCACTGGGATTATTTTCAGTAAACATTATAGGAGCAATTTGTAAAGCACTTTAGACTTTGAGCTAGATTGCTCCCGGCTGCTTTTATTCTTTGTTTACACTACGGAAAGGAGGAAGTCATACATTATATGTGTTATACTATATACCATAAGGCTGGACAATAAGAAAATAATGCTATAAAGTAATGCAGAAGTAAAAAGAAGGCAGTGTTATTTTAGGCAGCATATAGCACATGTAAATGTTTTCATGAATCAGGAATGCACTAGCCTTTAAGTGGATGTTATGTCATCTTTCAAGAATACAGTAAAGCATGCTATGCAGGTGAGATCACAGCTAAATACAGAACTGAATTCAGGGTAAATCAACAATTATACCTGCTTATTCTACAGTGCATACCAAACAACAATAAAGTCCCTGGGGAATCACTAAACTGTGTTATCCTTGCTTGGTCAACATATTGCCGCAAAGAAAAGAAACCAGCCACTTAATAGGCCATTGCACTATATAAAACTATCCAAAGAATTCTGATCTTCATGATTAGATTTAGCTTGCCATGGCATTCACCATTTCCATATTTTCTAGTGATTTAGGTCAACGGTTTCAAAGTGACTACTGCTGAAGATGGAAAATTATAAGAATGCTTTCCTGCAAGTAAGACCCACTGAATAGAATGAAGAGAAACATCACAGTCACATATTAAGAAACAGAACCAAAGCAGAAGCCATAATGAACATCAAAAATACTTTTGGAGGAAAAAAGAGAGATGCGAAGAACCCAGGACACTGTAGACACACTCCTATAAACTTACAGGACTAAGAGAGGAAAGGTCAGAAGTAGGGATGCCAGCCTCCAGGTGGGACCTGGGGATCCTCCAGAATTATAGATGCTTTGAAGGGTGAACTCTATGGGACTGTACCCCACTGAGGTCCCTGTCCTCCCCAAGCTCCACCCCAAAATCTCTAAGAGTTTTCCAACATGGAGCTGGCGACCTTACCCTCCCCCACCCCACACCAGTGGCCGGGTGGGATGAGACCTGGCAGCCCTAGCCAGAAGGAAGAGTTTTTAATGAACATGTTGATCCTACCATACAAAAATCATACAAGATAGGGACTTAAATCTGATAAATATTACAGCCAATGAATGAGATCCAACATGCTTTTCTGAGAGCAACCAGTCCACTTGGTCTAACAAAAAAAGCCTATGCTGGGGAACATGGACATATATACAAAAGCCATGTGGAACTGAGGTATTAAGAAGGGGGAAACAGGAAAGATGGAGTGAAAAAACAGCTGCATCCACCTCTGTTATATAAATTATAATGTATTTGATTTGTAGTGACTGTGGGAAACAAAAAAGGGAACTCCCACTGTGTGTAAGTCAAATGAAGACCATGGAAGCTCACTTTTAAAAATGGCTCTTTTTGCCCTCTGTATTACTTCTGTCTCCTCCCATACCATCCAGCCCACCAGTTGATCCTCAAGCCCTGCTCTCTGTGCCCTCACCTTCAGAGGTGAGGCGGGTGGTGTGACTACAGACAGGGCATTTTCTGTGGTGACACCTCACCTTTGGAATGCCCTCCCCTTTGAGGCCCGCCTGGCATCCACCATGCTTTCTTTTAAACACCAGGCTAAAACACATCCTTTTACCAAGACTCTTAATTAGGGGTTTCATCTTATCAGCCTTTTAACAGTCTATTCTGTCTTATGGACAGTTTTTATTTTTCTTATGTTTAACGGCTTGATTTTTAATGGCTTGGTTTGTTTTTTTTTAAATACTGTGGCTTTAAACTGTAAACCACCTCATGCAGGATTCTACAAATATTCTAAATAAATAATTCTGTATTACATGAACAAAGTTCACATTAGGTATGTATCAAAATACCTGCGTGCCATTTGTCTCCTGTATCACCAGTCTCCAAGCACCTTACAAACTTAAAACCACAATCCTAAATTCCAGTACATCAAGATCAACTACTAATTATCCAGCAAATATCACTGAGATCTCTGGACATCACTGAGGTCTCAAATGCTCAAATGAACAACTACCACCCCTTCTAGAGCAAGCAGTCATTCTTTGGGAAAATACTCCAGCCCCCAACACCTTCCAAGCCAAAGTCCAGTGGCTTCCTGAGCCACAGCCCAAAATGGACACCTGACCTGGATAGCCCAGGCTAGCCCGATCTTGTCAGATCTCGGAAGCTAAGCAGGGTCAGCCCTGGCTAGTATTTGGTGACTGCCGAGGAATACCAGAGGCAAGCAATGGCAAACCACCTCTGAAATGTCTCTTGCCTTAAAAACAAGTCTAGCTTGCCACCTAGTGGGGCATAATGCTAAAAGAGCTAGAACTTCTGGCTGCCAGACAATCTTAGGATCTCTTGGCTATACTAAACACACTGCCATACGATAATTATTATTAGTCCAATTTGGGGGCGGGGGGGCTCCTCAGCCCCAGCCAAGTTACAGCTTTGGGCTGTCATGGTAATACAAAGCACTGTGGAGGCAGAAGACAGAAGGTGGTCCTGGCCACTTCCTCCAGGGTGCTACAGAATGCCGCCGCCACAGGGATAAGACCTCTAGGACTGGTGGCAAGACTTACGGGAAGTGCTCCCCTCCCCCGAAAGTGGGGCAACTACAGTTCTGCAGATGAAACTAGAGCAACTGGGGCTTAGAAAGGCTAAGGAGATAAGCAGTCTCTCCCTTCCCAGCCAACAGCTCTTTTATACCCTTCCCTAGGCTGGAGCAGGAGCAACAGAAACTTTGCAGGCCAGGAGGTCAACAGCCTTTTCCTTCACTGTTCCAGGCAGCAGCTCCTTTGTACTTCCTTGCAATACTACTTGAAATGGAATATTCAGGGATCATGTGCCTCATATGTGTTGTCACAGCTTGGAATTGTCAGGGTATCTGCCAACATATTAAAGCTGCTGCTGGCACAAGAGGCTCGTCTCCCCATAGGCACCTGGTCTGGCAGGACTATAGAGATAACTGACATGATTGCTGGTGAGCTGTGCAGAAAGCCACTCCAAACATCATTACTGGCGATAGAGAAGATGAATCGCCCAAAGGTTCATTAAGAAGTTAGATCATCCAGAAGTTCATCCCAGAGTTCAGCAGACAGGAGCGTATGACAGGGCCTTCTCAGAAGTGGCACTGAAACCCTGGAAGTTCCTCTCATGGAAAGTACATTTGTCCCAGTCCCTTCTGAATTTTAGGAGGCAGGTGAAGACCATTGTCCTTCCAAGCGCATTTGGGTTGGCTGAATGGCGACAGTGCCTGTTATGTTCGGTTGATACTGGATGATCCCATGGATGCAAGATTTTGGTTTATAATGGCTTCCGATTTGGTTTGGATTTTATTTGTTTTTGCTTGTTCGTTTTTTTTTACTCTGATCTGTATTTCTCTATTCTTGCTGCAAGTTACAGCGCAGTCCTAACTTTACAGAAGTCAATGGGCCTGATTAATTTCCTGATGGAAAAGAAACTTCGGTATGACTAGAAGTTGGGATATACAATTTTAAAATAAATATTAATAGCGTTTACTA